GGGAGACTGGAGTGTCCATTCACCTTATATTGTCTACCGCTGATGACCAGAGGCTTTTGGGGAGAGAGCAAGGGGAGCCCCCCTTCTACAGTGAGAGGTCACCACCGCACCCTGGGGACTGGTGAGAGGGCCATTCGCTCATTGCTAATACTGCTGGCAGGGACTGAGCCTCTTAGAGTAGGACACCAAGTGTACAAAATCCATACCCAACCCACACTGCACCATATACTGCACTTATTCCAAACATAGACTGCATCTATACCATCACTATACTGCAAGATACCAAACTTTTACCGCATCTGAACCACATCTACCTTTCACCTGTGCTGAGACTTTTACTGCATGCAGGCAAACTGGGACTGTCTTTAAGTGCACCAACATTCTTAAAGGGCCCCAAAGATAGCAGGCAGAAGAACATCTCAAAGGACTGCCCCTTGCGTAATGATTATTCAGCAAGCATCCCTTTGTTCCCCTGCCCCCTTCATTACCATCCTCCTTTTCTTTTGGACAGTGCATACCCAGTTTGGTTGAGGACTAGTATTGCCACCAAAAAATGTGCTTTGGTAGTATAGTTCCAGCACTTGGTTGATTAAACTTTACTACTGCTCACTGCTGCACATGAGGTGGCCTTGCTACTGTTTATGCTGATTTGGATGCCAAATGTCATCGTATGCCCAGTCCTTACTGTTAATCACTTTGTAGGTTAAATTGTGTTATTACATAAATATAAATTAGTGTAGCGCTAAACATGCACAAACTATTGTGATCCAATATATTGACTTCGTGACAGATGCTATACTCTTCTCAGTGTTCTTATATACCTCTTACTTCATATATGTATATTACAAATCACCAAAGTCAATACAAACTCCTATTGCATTAATTAAATAGATATCTAAACAATGTGATAGTGCCACTTCAAAACAATATAAATCAATATCTAAATATGCCACTTTACTATATATATGTATAATCCAAATCCCCAAAAAATCAATACAAACTCCTATTACATTAATTAACATATAAATACTGTGATAGTGCTGCTTCAAATCAATATAAATCAATAACATGTGATGGTGCCACTTCAAACTGATTCAACGTCCAAAGTCCAAATCCAAACGGATCTATTCCAAGTGATATTTAAATACATGCAATGTGCTTTTATATATCAAGTGCCACTCGTGAATAAAACCACACTCTTTCCACTTCAGCTGCAATGCCCGCTCACCTCCTTTCAGTGACCCCTAAGGGCCCACAAGCCTTTAGGATCACTTTGGATCCTCAAGAATCCTGGTTTGGTACCTCTCAGATATTCCTCCTATTTGGCCTCCTCCACACCTCCACTGCTGTGCCTCATAGGATCCTCACCAGCGATTCTCTGTAAACTCTCTCTCACAAATAGTGAGTCAAAAACAGAGATCCTCCATAGTGTAGTATTTCCAATAATCAGGGTTTAATTGTAGAAGTAACAAAAGGTAACTTACATGTGTTTGTACAGCGATTCTTCTGACCCTATATGGGTAAACTGCACACATGTGTTTGAGCTTCCTGATAACCAGGAAAATGGCGTCCCGCACCGGAAGTGCGACACTTCGGATACCGGAAGTTACGTCTTAGCGTGCCTACGCGTTACGTCACGTGGTCTCGTGACTTCCTCGGGGTGAAGTAAGAGGTATATAAGAACACTGAGAAGAGTATAGCATCTGTCACGAAGTCAATATATTGGATCACAATAGTTTGTGCATGTTTAGCGCTACACTAATTTATATTTATGTTATAGAATAGAATAAACAGTAAGCGCTCAATACTGGTGGCAGCAGCTGAACATATAGGAAAACGCATAAGAAGTCCCACAATACATAAATATATAAATGCAGCGCTTAAGAGTGATAAACACAGTCCGGTGAAAGGAGTGCTCCGTGATTCCTAGTGCAAATGGTGGAAATTTACACTAACCAGAAAGCGTAAATTAAAACGCATGTGTGTATAAATCCTATGAGATCGCCTTCTCCACTCGGATCTGGTCAGAAGAATAGCCGGGAAAGGTAGATGTCCTGCGCCCTCATGTGGTGAAAGTGTGGTCCAGCAGGTCAGAAAGATGCCAATCTGAGAAAAGTCTCCCCCGTCCTAGAAGATCCTGAGGGGCTGTGAAAAGGCAAGAAGCTCCTCACAGAAAGCGTAAATTAAAACGCATGTGTGTATAAATCCTATGAGATCGCCTTCTCTCCACTCGGATCTGGTCAGAAGAATAGCCGGGAAAGGTAGATGTCCTGCGCCCTCATGTGGTGAAAGTGTGGTCCAGCAGGTCAGAAAGATGCCAATCTGAGAAAAGTCTCCCCCGTCCTAGAAGATCCTGAGGGGCTGTGAAAAGGCAAGAAGCAGTATCCTGCAGGCAGTTTCTTCCAGTAGTCCCAGACTAGATCCTCAAACAAGCCCCCTAGGCATTGATCGTTCCCTCTGGAAGGTCTTCTTCCAGAGGGAACGATCAATGCCTAGGGGGCTTGTTTGAGGATCTAGTCTGGGACTACTGGAAGAAACTGCCTGCAGGATACTGCTTCTTGCCTTTTCACAGCCCCTCAGGATCTTCTAGGACGGGGGAGACTTTTCTCAGATTGGCATCTTTCTGACCTGCTGGACCACACTTTCACCACATGAGGGCGCAGGACATCTACCTTTCCCGGCTATTCTTCTGACCAGATCCGAGTGGAGAAGGCGATCTCATAGGATTTATACACACATGCGTTTTAATTTACGCTTTCTGGTTAGTGTAAATTTCCACCATTTGCACTAGGAATCACGGAGCACTCCTTTCACCGGACTGTGTTTATCACTCTTAAGCGCTGCATTTATATATTTATATATTTATGTTATATCATTGTACACTGGTTTAGGTATCAGTTTGAGTGTTAGCGGCTTTAAAGTAGGAGGGGATTCCATAGAAGCACAGGAGGATTTTTAATAAGAATAAATTGTGTTATTACCATTATTAATCTATTGTATGGCTGCCTAGTTACCAACCATATTGAGGGACAATATATTTACCTTTACTACCTGGTTTGGTGTCTATTTGATATAGAACTACTACACCTGTGATAGTGTGTGTTTGTACGCACAGCCTGGTGTGTCAGAAGGGCTGAGGTTCTTGAGAAGTTTGAAGGACAGAAGACTCATCCTATTTAGATGCTTCTACAAGGGTAGCACTACATATAATTTAGGATTTGAATGGAATAGAGATGATTTAGAAACCTTATCATATTTTATTGTTGTCTGTGTTCTCAGTATGGCGTTTTACCCTCTCTACAGGTAGGACCCTCCCAGAAAGGCTGCTAGGTTTGGATAGACAAATTAAGTTCTGTGGCTCTCCTGTAATCAGCAGAGCAGCATGTGATTGCTTTGAGTTCTTCAAGCTGCAAGGTTGATTGCTTCCACGGTTACATTTATACAACTCCAGCCAATCCCTGGGGTGGTGTGCCCAGATGGTGGTTGGGGAGTGTATAAATAGTTTTGAAATTCAGAGAGCTGAGTTCTTCTTCCCCAGGAGGAGAGGGTCCCAGTAAGAAGGGCTGTTGCCCTTCCTGGTGGTCCAGCTAAAGTTCTTTACTGTCTCTTTGAGGTCCCAGGTGTGCATAGCTGGGGGGGGGGGGGGGGGTCTATCCTGCTTCCAAATAATTTGTGAGCTGGAAGAGGGTTTCACTGAGGATCTGGTCTGGAGGCTCCACTAAGCAAACTTTCTGCCTGAATCTGGAAAGACCCAGAGACATTGTGTGTACAGACTTGAGAAAGGGATCCAGTTCAGGGCAGATTTGGATGTGGTTTTGCAAGGTTTTTCTGTTTTGCTGAGGTGGAGAGGAGCGGGTAGGAGAGAAAACAGTGCTGAAACCTGATCCTGAACTGAAAGCCTTTTCACAACTGATGACATGTGCAGTTCAGAAGCAGTTCACATAGACGTTAATAGCCTGTACCTGAACCGGACTGCACTGCTCAGAAATCAGACAGAACTCTTTTTCAATCCACACTGAATCCGCACTGCCAGTGCACCAGACATACAAGTGGGGCAAAAAAGTATTTAGTCAGCCACCAATTGTGCAAGTTCTCCCACTTACAAAGATATATAACAAAGTATTGACATGAACTTTTCATATTCACCAAATACTTACTTTTCCACCATAATTTGCAAATAAATTCTTTCCAGATCAGCCAATGTGATTGTCTGGATTTGTTTTCTCATTTTGTCTCTCATAGTTGAGGTCTCTCTATGATGCCAATTACAGGCCTCTCTCATCTTTGTAAGTGAGAGAACTTGCACAATTGGTGGGGGGACTAAATACTTTTTTGCCCCACTGTATGTGAACAGGCACCATAGGAAGCAATGTTATTTCATGTCATGTCAAACCTCATCCAATCTGCATATATGTGAGCCAGCACTTAGGGATACTCCATTTAATTTATTTATTTATTGGGACTGTTTTAAGTCAGGCCACAAGGACAGAGCCTACATTTGGGGTGGATGTAGCACCCTACAAGATAGAATGCTAGGTTTGGTTAGGCAAATTGAGTTCTGTGGTTCTTCTGTAATCAGTAGAGCAGCACGATTGCTTTGGGCTGCTCTGGGCTCTGCAGGCTTCCTTCGTCTTCTGAAAGTTTCCAGAATGTAGTGGGTGAGAGAGTCAAATGAGCGGCCTATTTATTCGACTCTAGCTAATCCCTGGGGAGGTGTGCCTAGATGGTGGTTGGGTAGTGTATAAATAGTTTGGAGTGCGGGGTTCTTCTTCCCCAGGAGGGGAAGGGCTGCTGCCCTATCTGGCAGTCCAGCTGAAGTTCCTGTCTGTCTCATTGAGGTTCCAGCTTTGCACAGCTGGGGGGGGCTATCCTGCTGCTAATTCTTTGAGAGCTGGAAGAGGGGGTTCACTTAGGAACTGGTTTGGAGGCTCCATTGAGGAAACTGTCTGCCTGACTCTGGAGGGAGACACCCAAATCCCAGGAACACCGTGAGTACGGACCAGGGGCGGACTGACAACTCATGGGGCCCCCGGGCAATAGGGGATCATGGGGGCCCCTTTGTCCTTGCCCAAACAAAAAAAGCCTATAAAAAGGTACCAGGGGCATCTCATGGGGCCCCCTACTGACCCCGGGCCCTCGTGCAGTGCCCGAGTTTCCAAATGGTCAGTCCGCCCCTGATATGGACCTGAGAGAGGGATCCTAGTGATTATTGTTGCTATTAATCCCTGGAGCACTATATTTAGGGCTTTACTGGCTTTGACCATTTATAATGGTGTCCCAGTGATGTCCAATTTCTGTCGAACTGCTCAAAGGGCTGTGTTAAGAAGCAGCTGGGAACCCACATGGAAGAAAAATATTTTTGAAATATACTTTAAAAAATATTCTTCCCAAATATATTGCCATATATTTGAAATGCTACAATTTTGCCCCTATTCAATATATTTCAAAATATATTTCAATTAAAAAAAAAATTATATGTATATATATATATATATATATATATATATACACTGCATGTTGAAATGTATTTTTATTATACAATATCTTAAAAATATTTTTAAAAAATACATTTAAAATATATTGTATGTCTTTAAAAATACAAATCTACATTTTTGGAATGCATTTACAAATATATGTAAAAATATATGTTTTTAAATGACTTTTTTATATGTTAAAAAAAATCTGAAAAAAATATTTTAAAAAAATATATTCTTCAGATTTTTTTCACAAACAGGAGCTGAGCTCCGGGCAGATAAAAGACGACACAGACAACAGCTCTGTATTCATCAACGTACAATTATATATTTTTTAAATACAAGCGGTATATGTTCCCGAATGTGACTTGCTTTCAGTCTCTTACAATTGCCTGGACATCGGAGCTCAGACTGGAAGAAGGAGAAGCAACCCAAGGAGCCAGTTAGTTCAAGGGGCATGTTGATAGGAGGAGAGAGCAAAGTGGCAGAGAGATGAGCTTATCAGTCCTCTGCTCTTCCTTTTACTGTACAGTCACAGACTGGGGGAGGGTCCAGGGAGGGGGTTGAATAATGCTGACCACCAGACTGAGGACATCTATTGGTAAAAAGTACTGCTGGGGAAATCTCTGGATGAAGCTGAATAGTGCAGCAAAAGTTGCTTTTTTATTTTATCTTTTTGTGGCTAATTTATATTGATCTTGGTTTGGGCCGGAGTTCTGCTTTAACAAAGCTGGAGACTTCCTTATTGACCGGTCAGAGAATACTCTGATATTTATAGTAACTCCTTTCTAATGTGCAGATTACTGTATGGCGGGGAGTTTTCTGACCTCGTCTAATGACTTATGTGCTTCCTCTCTCTACAGGTAAATTCCACCCACATCATGTACATAAATCAGCTGTATATTTTTGCCGAGACGGATCCGGTCCGAACAACAAATGACGCTGTCATGAATGTCTCCTGCTCTTACCCGCTGTATATGAATGTCAGACTTAATGTGTCCCTGCACCCAATACTCGGGTAATTATTATTACACGTTGTTGGTCTTTCAGCAATCCAAGCTGGCCATCAGTTATCACAGGGGTGTCAAACTGGCATCCCTCCAGCTGTTGCGAAACTACAAGTCCCATCATGCCTCTGTCTTTAGGAGTCATGCTTGTAACTGTCAATCTTGCAATGCCTCATGGGACTTGTAGTTTGGCAACAGCTGGAGGGCCGCCAGTTTGACACCTGTGAGTTATGATATTGGATTCCATCACAAACCCTTGGATGAGGTCCCTTAGCAAACCTTCAAGTATCTTCCCTACAGTAGAGATTTAATTTAAAGTTCTGTACTTACTGGTTGAAGATCCTAGTCCCTTCCTAACTATAGACACCGCATCGGCCTTGTGCCAGGTCTTCATAAATTAGAAACAAAACCTTAGATATAACTGAGCTCAACTCTCTGAGGTCACATGGGTGTAAGCCATAGACATGTGCGATTCGTTTCGCTGTGAATCAAAATTCAGCCAAAATTTTCATTATTCGGGGATGTATCTGAATTTCTGAATCACAATAGTAAGGAATTTCAATAAATCCGAGATAAATTATAACGAAACAAATTATCCGAATCTGAAAGTGAGTTAAAATTTTGAAAATGAATTTTAATTCCTAATGGAAACATATTGCAATAAATACAGTAAGGTATAAAGTGAAATAAGATGATGATTCCTACTTAGGCTGCTATATAGAAGAGAATAGAATCCACCCAGAATGGCGAATGTCCAGCTTGCCTGTCATTATACTATAGGCTGAGCAGGAAGGTGTAATACTAAAGCTGAACTTCAGGCAAATATAAAATAGAAGAGAAAATAAAGGAACAGAATAGAATTAAACAAAATATTAAAGAAAAGAATAGAAAATATCCTGCCCTCAGCTAATAATGGAATCTTCTACTCTTCCTACTAGTCCATCCCCCTCAGTTACAACCTTTTGTACCAATAGCCCCTCCCTCCTAGATTGTAAGCTCCAAAAATCAGGGCTGCAACCTCAGTAACATCTCACAATGGCCACACCCACCCCAGGCAAGCAGCTTGACTGTGACCTGCTGTCATTTGCCACATACCTGTTTGATGCACTCCTCATTCTCTCTGCTGCATAATGCTAGACACCCCTGAAGCACTAACCATACTGCTGTATCTCTTAGATTGTAAGCTCCCAGGATCAGGCTCTCCTATCCCTCTATTGAACTGTATTGTTGCTGTATTGTCTCCCGTTATATTGTAAAGCGCTGAGCAAACTGTTGGCCGCCATAAATCCTGTATTATAATAATAATAAATATTGAAATAAATACACAGAATAGAATAAAACATAATATAAAAGATAAGAAAGCAATAGAATAGAAAAATAAAAGAATAGGAAATAAAAGAATAACACAGAATAGAACAGCATAGAATAAAGCAGAAGAGGATACAATTGCAAAGAACATAAAATAATATAGTAGAATAAAATGCAAAAAAAAAAGAATAGAAAATAATGGAATGGAATAGAATAGGAATTAAAAGAATAGAATGGAATATAGCTGCCTTCCAAAATTTGAATTTTGAATCAATTTGAAAATAACAAATGTAAGAAACAAATCCAAATATACAAAACAAATTCAGAAAATTAATCATTCTAACATAACGTATAGAACAGAATTAAACAGAATAGATGTGAAATAAATGTATAGCGAAGAAATGAAAAATTCGATTCGACTGATTCGGCGAATTCGTGGACAATATTCGATTCGAGTCGAATAAATTCGCTGTGAATTTAACTTAAAAAAGGGTGTTTCTAGGCTTCAGAGAGACTTAATATTAGTGCAGAACACTGTACCTTTAATTTAAATGCCCTTGGAGTCTGCTGGGGAAGAGAAATAATACTGTCTGTCAGTATGACATGCAGATGAGTGCCGTCGATCTTAGAATCACTGCACACTTCACTCCTTTGGCCAGTCACGGGGCCAAAACCAGTGTTTGGAGCCACAGTGTGGCGGTGGAGGCAGCAGCAATGGGAGGCCATACAGCAACCTATGACAAAATGGAAACCAGCAGGAGCGTGAGGAGACCTGAAAGTGGCACATGGCAGAGTGGGAGCAATGGGAGGCGGTACAGGGACCCAGGTCACACTGTGGGCCCAGCAGCAGCGTGACCAGGCGGTACGGGGGCCCATGGCCGATATGGGGCTTGGTGGCACCTATGGAAGGCCTGTAATCTGCCAGCAACCTATGACAAAATGGACAACCGCAGGAGTGTGAGGAGATTTCAAAGTGGCACATGGCAGAGTGGAAGCAATGGGGAGGCCGTACAGGGACCCAGGTCACACTGTGGGACCAGCAGCATCAGCGTGAACAGGCGGTACGGGGGCCCATGGCCGATTTGACCTCATTCATCCCATAGTCCTGCCGACTCACGAATAGCGTGGCCTCCTCAAAGGGCCTGAGCAAGCGCAGGTGTCACACATGAGCTGACAATGGCTGACATCTAAGTTACACAGGGAGTACCTTTATCCGCTTTTAACATCAGGAAATCTGTGATGGCCTTTAGCTGTTCGTAAAGGCGGGTCTCTAACATATGTAGGGTTGAATTACACCTTGTTGCAACGTCACAGCATGAGGAGTCGGTCGGTACGGGGGCCCATGGCAGATTACATGTCTGGCAGCAGCAATGGGAGGCCCGTAATCTGCCAGCACCCTATGTCAAAAAATTTAACACACCAGCAGTGTGAAGAGACCTGAAAGTGGCACATGGCAGCAGAGTGTGGCGATGGAGACAGCAGCAATGGGAGGCCGTACAGGGACCCATGAGAGACTCTGGACTTGGCAGCAGCATGAGGAGGCGGTATATAGGGGCCCATGGCAGATTAGGGGCCTGGCAGCAGCTATGTGAGGCCCGTAATCTGCCTGCACCCTATGTCAAAAAAAATTTAACACACCAGCAGTGTGAAGAGACCTGAAAGTGGCACATGGCAGCAGAGTGTGGCGATGGAGACAGCAGCAATGGGAGGCCGTACAGGGACCCATGAGAGACTCTAGACTTGGCAGCAGCATGAGGAGGCAGCATGAGGAGGCGGTATATAGGGGCCCATGGCAGATTAGGGGCCTGGCAGCAGCTATGTGAGGCCCGTAATCTGCCTGCACCCTATGTCAAAAAATTTAACACACCAGCAGTGTGAAGAGACCTGAAAGTGGCACATGGCAGCAGAGTGTGGCGATGGAGACAGCAGCAATGGGAGGCCGTACAGGGACCCATGAGAGACTCTGGACTTGGCAGCAGCATGAGGAGGCGGTATATATAGGGGCCCATGGCAGATTAGGGGCCTGGCAGCAGCTATGTGAGGCCCGTAATCTGCCTGCACCCTATGTCAAAAAAATTAAACACACCAGCAGTGTGAAGAGACCTGAAAGTGGCACATGGCAGCAGAGTGTGGCGATGGAGACAGCAGCAATGGGAGGCCGTACAGGGACCCATGACAGACTCTAGACTTGGCAGCAGCATGAGGAGGCGGTATATAGGGGCCCATGGCAGATTAGGGGCCTGGCAGCAGCTATGTGAGGCCCGTAATCTGCCTGCACCCTATGTCAAAAAAATTAAACACACCAGCAGTGTGAAGAGACCTGAAAGTGGCACATGGCAGCAGAGTGTGGCGATGGAGACAGCAGCAATGGGAGGCCGTACAGGGACCCATGAGAGACTCTCTGGACTTGGCAGCAGCAGCATGAGGAGGCGGTATATAGGGGCCCATGGCAGATTAGGGGCCTGGCAGCAGCTATGTGAGGCCCGTAATCTGCCTGCACCCTATGTCAAAAAATTAAAACACACCAGCAGTGTGAAGAGACCTGAAAGTGGCACATGGCAGCAGAGTGTGGCGATGGAGACAGCAGCAATGGGAGGCCGTACAGGGACCCATGAGAGACTCTCTGGACTTGGCAGCAGCATGAGGAGGCGGTATATAGGGGCCCATGGCAGATTAGGGGCCTGGCAGCAGCTATGTGAGGCCCGTAATCTGCCTGCACCCTATGTCAAAAAATTAAACACACCAGCAGTGTGAAGAGACCTGAAAGTGGCACATGGCAGCAGAGTGTGGCGATGGAGACAGCAGCAGCAATGGGAGGCCGTACAGGGACCCCATGACAGACTCTGGACTTGGCAGCAGCATGAGGAGGCGGTATATAGGGGCCCATGGCAGATTAGGGGCCTGGCAGCAGCTATGTGAGGCCCGTAATCTGCCTGCACCCTATGTCAAAAAATTTAACACACACCAGCAGTGTGAAGAGACCTGAAAGTGGCACATGGCAGCAGAGTGTGGCGATGGAGACAGCAGCAATGGGAGGCCGTACAGGGACCCATGACAGACTCTAGACTTGGCAGCAGCATGAGGAGGCGGTATATAGGGGCCCATGGCAGATTAGGGGCCTGGCAGCAGCTATGTGAGGCCCGTAATCTGCCTGCACCCTATGTCAAAAAATTAAACACACCAGCAGTGTGAAGAGACCTGAAAGTGGCACATGGCAGCAGAGAGTGTGGCGATGGAGACAGCAGCAATGGGAGGCCGTACAGGGACCCATGACAGACTCTAGACTTGGCAGCAGCATGAGGAGGCGGTATATAGGGGCCCATGGCAGATTAGGGGCCTGGCAGCAGCTATGTGAGGCCCG